CCCTAAATTACTCAATAAACCCATCATGTAATGGAACATCTCTTAATACTGACGAAATAGGTAATGTGAGACAGTTATTAAAAGTGTAGGTGGTATTTTGAGACGTTTCAAAGAACATGTGATAATCTGAGGCAATTTTGAAAGCACAAGGGACATGTACATAAATAAGCCTTATTTTAACTTGAAAACGTGGCATCAGTCTTCATAGTGAAATGGATACATTCATTCAACTACATGTGAAAATTAACATGAGTTGGATTTAGTAAGGATGAGGTGTTAGAATTATCCTTTGATTAGCAAGATATCATGGCTTTAGATGGGAGTTGCTTGATTGTTCACAACTTCTCAACCTTAGACCTTTTTATTGACAAACAAACATAAGTACTACCAGTCTTACACCACAGGTTGGTCTGCAATACATAAACCACAGGCCAAGGTTTCATCTAATTCTTTGTTTCAGTCTCAGTGGTGCCAGGTCCTCCTGGTCGTCCCAGTTGTCCTGGTATTTCTTTGTTGCCTTTCCCGCAACGGTTGATGGGGTCAAAAGTTCCTCCGCTTTCATGACCATGGCCTTTCCCGCCACGGTTGATGGGGTCACGCTCTCCTCCATGCTCATGACCATGGCTTTTATGGATGGGGGGTCTTGCTCTCCTCCACCATCTTGACCGTGGCCTTTTCCTCTGTACTTGTAGCACGTTCTTTCTGTACCTTTACAATGCGCTGCACATTCTTCTATAACTCATTGTCTAAATCAACTGGCCTAATTCACGTCTGCAAAGAAAAAAAACATTAAATACCAGAAACTAACATATACAGATAATATTAATAAACAAGCTCAAGCTCATGACCTAAAAAGGACATAATCGTCAAAAGAAAATGCACACAAAAGTGTCTTACTTCAAAGCTCAGGGAACAAAAGAAAAGTCTTGCTCATAAAAGGATTAGTAGATCAATGTGACATAAAGTTAAAGACAAATTAACAGAAAGTAGCTCGACTGGAAAGCTTCCATTTTATCATCAAATAGCTGTTGTGTAGGAATTGTTTAAATCAGTTTGTATAACGTGTAAATGCACCAAAGAAAAAGGAAAACAAGAAGAAAGGGAGTAGGTTGACTCATGATTCATGTGTTCACTAATTTTTTTTTTTTAAAAAAAAATTGTAGTCTCAACTAATTTTTTTTTTTTAAATGGAAACTAAAATTATAAGGAGGATCCTCGAAAGACCGTTCATCAATTAATTTATGTTTTTGAGCACATTAATAGTTTTTTCTAATACACTACTAATTAAAAAAAATTAGTTGAAAAATAAATGAGATTAGATATAAACAAATAATCACCAGGTTAAAATTTAATATTTTTTATTTATTTATTTAGAAGGAAAATGACCATTGTCTAAGGATATTCATCAAGTTTATAAACTTTGGTGGTTTCCAATGGCTTCATCTTTTATTATGGATCTAACTAAGCTAAAAGGCATTCCTACAAAAAATATATATATATTAAAAAATTAGGTCGTAATGCTCATCATGTGTCTGATGGTATGTGTCAATCATGTGTTTAGGGAAAACAATTATGTTGTTGATATGCTGGTTTCTTTTTTTTCTTTTTTTTTTTGGGCAAATTATTAAGCCCTTGGGTTTCCATATTTGGGATGCTCCATTGCTATCGACCAATTAATTTTTAATGATTTATGTAGGATTTTACACCTACGTTTATTAATTATTAGTTAGTGTTTTCGTATTGGGCTTTAGGCCCTCCTCTCTAACCGAAATAAAAAAAGTTTTGAACAATATCCTTGCTTGATATATTTCTTTTCCTCCGTATACATGCAGTCCCATTCTTTTGGACTCATATGGTCTAAGAGACTTGTGATCACCTACTCTTAGATCTAATCTAACGGCTTCTCAAATTATGATGACTTATGCGATGTCCTACAATGATGTAATTGAAACTATTTTATAAGGAAAAGATAATATCATACAAACACTAATGCACCCAACTTTATTAGAATTCCACATTTAGAGCAGGATTAATAAATGGATAACGATTGTACTTTATCTTTGCTTAAGGAAAAGCCATTAAATCTTAATATGTATTCCTCTTTTATTGAGGGACACCCTTTAGGTTACCCTACGAAAAAAAATTCAACGATCCAAACCATCTGTTTTTTAAACATTTATTCATAGATCATTCTTGCAAAAAAATCATGTAAATTAAAAATAAAAAATGTATCTAATTGGAACCAACAAAATACACAAACACGATGCTTCAAAAAAAGTTTATAATAACAACTATATAGTTGAGTAGCCAAATGGTTTCGGATTCAAATGATTTTTTGCATACATGATCTTTGAGGGAATATTTAAAAACTAGACCGTTCGGATCATTAAATATAATGTGTAGTGGGCCATACAAGGGTGAACCTCAAATATGTTTATTTTCTATTGGACGGTCCAAATGTTATTATCGTGCAAACGCTATGTATTTTTTACTAACCCTCCCTGCTTTCTTCCCTGTTTACTATGGCATCCATACGGTAATAACGTGCGGACGTCTGAATGAGAGAATAACTGTTTATGTGTGTGTATATATATATATATATATATGGTGGCAAATTCATGGCATCATATTTTTTACACAAATTTTGACACAAATTTTCAACTATTAGATTAAACTACAATGAATTGCTAAGATTAAACAAACCAAATATTTTATTCTTTACTAGCCTCAATGCATGCGTGCATCACTCTAGTATTGGCATGGCACCATATGAAGCGTTGTATGATAGACCTTATAAGTCACCTATATATTGGACTGAGGTGGGTAATATTGAGGAGTTGGATCCTCATATAGTACAAAAGAATATAGAGAAGATTTCTCCATCAAGGATAGAATTTGTACTGCTCAGAGTCGCCAAAGGAGTAATGTTGATTTGAAGCTGCGAAGTGTTGAATTTGAGGTTGGTGATCATGTATTCTTGAAAGTTTCATCAATGAAGGGAGTAATGAGACTTGGTTAAAAGCAAGAAAAGTTATCTCCCAAATTTGTGAGACCTTTCGAGATTCTGGATAAGGTTCGTAAATTAGACCATTTCTAACCATAGGGTCCAAATCCCAAAAATCCTAAAATTTAGCCCAAAACCATCTCCCACTCATGTCTAGGGAGGGGTGGAATTTTAGACTACTAGAAAATGGGGCGGTATTTGGCCCAAAACTCCAGTCCACGCAATAAATGGTGGAGCCCACTATGCCCAAAAAGAGGAGTCGATGTGGTCTGGAAATGGGAGCGGGCCCAACTGACGCCAGCAAAAAAGCCACTGACGGCGGCTTTTCTTCCACATGTCATGCCCAGGTGAAGCGGCCGTTGCAATCCAACGGCAGTAATCAAACAACCTTTTAATTTTTTTTTTCTTCCAATCAAACCCAGCGACCAACAGGCAAAAAAACTAATGACCCATATTTTTTCAAATTGATTTCCATGTGAAAAAAAAATTGATCCAGCGGCTCAATTAAAATTAAACTATCAAAATATTTGTTTTAATTTTATCTAAATCATATCCAATCCCAAAACTCATTCCAAATTCAATAAATAACCATCCATTTGTTAATTAATCCACTAAAATCAATTTTTTCCTCTCGCATTGTTAATTTTTTTTCACTCTCCTTTCTTTTTTGTTGAAGATAGCCTCAATTATATTTTTTTTGTATGCATTTTAATTTTATATTGTTGTACTCATTTTCATTTTAAGTGAAATTCTATTATATTTCGGAATTTCAATTTTTTTAGGTAAAATGTTTGGAAAATAAAATTATGAAAGTTTAAACAAAAAATTAACGACAAAAAAAAAATGAGTTAACCATTATTAAACGATTTAATAAAGTTGTGACCCAAATTTTGAGTATGCATGATTTGAGAAAAAAAAAAAAAATTGTTTGAGTCTGGGCAATACATGAATAGTTGTATTTTGGAGGGTGGAAATTTAGGTTTAACCCTTTTATGGTTGGAGATGGTCTTAACTTGTAGGATGTACCTCCAAAGTTTTTTGGTGTTCACAATGTATTGGAGCGTTAACTCATCCTCGACCTCATTAAGTTTAGCTTTTAACTCCTCTTAATGCAATTCATGCTTTGACAGAAAAAACCGATGAAGCTGATTAGACTTATACAATTGACACACTGATTTAGTGACCGAATAATGCCTTTTAGTGATTAAACTGGTGGTCACTAGTGGAATTTTCGTTGAGAGCGAGCAAGTCACTCTTTAGTGACAATTAACATTTAGGGATGGCCACCGAATAAAATTTGTGAGGACCTTCTCGTGACCATCTAGTAACCCCCCATATTTAGAAGCTTGTCTTAATCTCTTGCTTATTATTCCTCATTAACCTGTTGTCTTAATCTCTTGCTTATTATTCCTCATTAATCTCCTGCTTATTATTCCTCATTAACCATTCCTACTTGCTTTATTTATACTTTTCTTGAGTTTTGTCTCACATATCCTACATGGTAATTAAATTTGTAGGCGCGTGCCATTAAATTCAAATAATCTATTGTATGCTTGGAAAAAGAGTATAGTAAGTAAGACGTATTATTTACCTTTGTACTCAATGTCACACTCCGAATTTCCCCCCTTTTTTTTTAATACCTTTTCTTTTATTTTAAACATAATTTTATGTTTCTTTGTGTTGTGTGATGATTGAGTTGTGTATGTTTTTTTTCAGGGAAGTAATAGATGAGTATGGGAAGGAAGTAGTGAAGCTTTGTGTGGGAGGATGATGAAGTAGCTTCTAAATGGAACTAGCTTTGTGGGAGGATTGATTGACCATAATTGATACTTTTTGTGGCCAATTGTATTTCACTAATGTAGTAGTGTGTGTGGGTGCATTAGTTCTATTTGGTCCCTCTCATAGTTTATTTATTATTTATTCATGACACAAATCAAAAAAGAAAATTATGAGATTTCAAATGGAACTCAGTAAGCAAGCAAAGGTAAACTTGAAGTTCTAGACAATTTCCACACACAATATCAATTCAGAAAATTAAAATACATGCATTAAGTACATATAACAAACAGGGTCCAAGACTACCTTACGTAACAGTACAAAGATAACCCTTACATTACATAGTAGGTCAGATTTTGCTTGAGAGTTTACAACTACTCAACCAATGGACCTTTTTATTGAAAAACAAACTTTCCACACACGTACACGGGCCAAGGTTTTATCTAATTCTTTGTTTTGGTCTCAGTGGTGCCTGGTTGTCCTGGTCTTTTGTTGCGGGGGTCACCCTCTCCTACGCGTTCGTGACCGTGGCCTTTCCCTCGATGGATGGGTTCAACCACTACTCCTCCATGTTCATGGCCATGCCCTTTATGGATAGGGTCTTGCTCTCCTCCACGTTCATGACCTCCATGCCTGTAGCACGCTCTATTGTTTTCTCCAGGTTTACAATGTGCTCCAGGTTTAGGGTTACCCTCTCCTCCACGTTCGTGACCGTGGCCTTTCCCTCCATGGATGGGTTCAACCGCTACTCCTCCATGTTCATGACCATGCCTTTTATGGATAGGGTCTTCCTCTCCTCCACGTTCATGACCTCCATTCCTGTGGCACTGTCTGCTAGTTGGATTATGTTTACAATGCTCTCGTTCAGGGTTGCCCTTTTGTCCACGGCCATGGCACAGTTCGCCTGGACGGTTACATGACACTGCGCCTCCTTTTCCACCAGTAATTTATATATATAGAGAGAGAGAATAAGATAAAAGAATATATAAAAAGTATGCGTCGACCTATACGTACGTACATGCAAAATGATGAAACATCAAGATTCGTAAGAAATTATTGATATGTTATTACGTATCGTTAACTAAAGGACAGATGTCATGCATAAATTATTGATATATGTTCTGGTCATGATATCTCTTATGCATATGCTTAATTAAATTCATAAATCAGAGGAATAAAAGAGACTTATATGTTTTTGTTAACAAAGGGAGAAACTCACGACTAGGTGGATTAGTAGTTTCAGCTAGCTCACGAGCTGAGACATCAGAGAAGATGAGGATGACAACAGCGAACATAAGCCCAAGCAGAAGAAAAGTTCTCGAGGATGCCATATTTTTGCTTATAATTAACGGGGCTTGGCTCTCCTATTTATAGACCCTTTAAGATAGAGTTGGGTGGTGGAGGAGAGACAGAGAAATTCACCCTGAGTTTCTCACTCATCTTTTAATTTGGCTTGGCCTCTCCGTACTCATCTTTCATGCCTCTCACTGTAGAGTGATTATATGCAAGTCCTTTTCATTTCAGTTTTCATTCTATATTTACATTTCTAGACACCATTTTTATCTGACAAAAGGTGTAATAATAATTATACATATTTATCATATCTTTAATGCCATATTATTCATCTCTAAATGTAATTGAGAAAGCTGCTAGCTAGCTAGAGTAGCAAGTTTTAATTCTATACATTACTATATTATATATTGGAAATGGTACTTAGGTGACGATGGGTAAATTTTCTATGACACTTAAACAAAATTTGACCAAATATACTTATGACTAGTCAACTGCCAGTCATAAACAAACACAATCAAGAATACACACAGAGCATGCCACAATGTACCTGCAACCCTAGAAGATTACTAGTGACAACCCAGGCACTCAGAAGGACTCATCAATCTAGGCATCCCCTGTGCTAGCAACAACTATGGTGAAAGTGTGTGAAATCAACATAATCAAATACACACCAAACATCAGATAATGATGACTAGTCAACTACAAGAACATAAACCCATAATTCATAAGATGACTAGTCAACCACCAAGAACACAAACCCAGAAAAATTTCAGAGATGCAAATCAGAATTTGTTCACCCAGAAACCCACCATTGGGAAAAACTGGGGGTCATCAACCAACCAGGCAATCCACTAAGTAGAAAAAGATTCTTACAAAGGACCACGAGCAAGCTCAAGAAAAACCTAGATCTATTTAGGAAGATGAGCTATACCTCCTTTGTGCAATCTTCTTCTCCAACTTAGCAAAGCTTGAAGCTCAATTCTTCATGGCAATGGCAGCTCCTTCTCCAGCTCGTTCATCCCATGACACTAGCTTGCAAGCTCCAACTCAGATAGAAACCGAATTTGGATTCAAAGGAGAATGACCAATTTCTTCAAGAAACCATACTCTTGAAGAAATCAGTCTTGAATCTGACCTAGATATAAATGATAGAGTGTTTTAATGAGCTAAATGCATATTCGAATTTCAAATGCAGTTTTTCAAAATTAATTTGGAAAAACTCATAGATGAAAATGAAATGGTTCTCTCATGAGGAAGAAGAGAAAGAGCAACAAAAATTTTCCAAAACTTCCACACGAAAGAGACGGCTGCCAAATGAGGAATTGTTTGGCCTTTACACACAAAAATTCCCTAGGTCAGAATCGACATATGGCAGCAGAGAGAGAAGAGAGAATATGACAAAAAGGTTGGTTATCTAGTTGGAAATCCTACAGAGCAAGGATGACTAGTCATACAAGAAAACAAATTACTAGTCATCATTTTATGAAATCAATTTAATGCAATGAGATGCAATGCACAATTTACCTTTGTCAATTTGCTTGATCCTCCATAGGATAGATGTTAGTTAA